AAGGACAGGTTTTCCAGTATCTGAAGGCAGCTCTGTTATCCCACAGTGACTTTACTGGGAAGTTGCCCCCCTCCCCATTCCTTTAGTCACTACCCAAATCTAGCTGAAGTCTGCAGGTGCTCTTTGTAATCTCTGCTTATCAGTCTGAACATTACCTGGCTAAATGAGAATACTAAAGTTTACAAAGATACCTGTAAAATTACTATAATTAATTCGGTGATGGCAAAACTAGCGAAAAATCTTATTTCAAGTGTATGTGTGAGTCCCTCTAAAGTTCTGTTATGGGGAGGACATTTTTGGTTCCTCCAGTGATTTAACATTCATTACGTGCGTTTGATTAGGGGATTAACATTTCCACTAAGTCCGAATTTGGAAGCTGGGATGGGTCACATGTGTATTATGACAGTGACTGCCACTTGCCAAGGGCTAAAGTAAGTTCCAGGCCCTGTATACATCTTAGATAAGTATAGGCTAAAATATTTTAGGAAGAGAATGAGCTTTAATTATGCTGCAAGAGTCTTTTTCTGAGGATGTTAGGGCTTATGTTTCATATATTCAAAAACTTACACCTACAACTCCATTAGGAGTTTGCCGGGGAAAGCAGTGAGAGTCTGCGTGCTCAGCAGTGAAACTGGACTGTAGAACAGACTCTTGGTATTTGTGCTTTGTGTCATGAAGTCAGTCCATTGCTCTTTGTTATCTCCCTAGAAAGATCACTCTGGTTGTATTTTCAGGTTACTCTAAATGTTCTGTATCTGCATTGCATTTGATAAGGGCTTAAGTTAAAAATGAACTCGGACTTAGATGGGAAGGCATTTACACAGCTGTTGAGTCCTGCAGGCTTTCATTTTGCATTGTGAATGTTCTAAAGCTGAGATGACATTTCAGATGTATCTTCTTTTAAAGACACGAGACTTTTGCTATTTGATTGGGAGGGGGTGGTAGGCGAGGTGCCCAGACGCCATTTAGAAGCAGAACTAACCCCAACAGGCAAGGTCAAGGGATTTTCATATTTATCTTTCCTTCTTCCCTTAACTGTGTTTACTATTTCTTTTCTTATAACGACACCCTAATTACGTGGTGGCTCTTGTCCTCCTGACATTAAATATAGAATAGAGTGTAAAGCTTTTGTGCTGTCTTCTGTGCTCCATTTAGGACTTGCTTCCTTCTCTTTGGTTGCCACCAGCAGTAGAGGAAAGCTGATTATTTATGCAGAATGTCACAACTAGAACTGGTCTAGAAGGGGAAGGTGTTTTCTGCACATTAGCAGTTTCTAAGTCATGCATGAGAGCGGATATACTTAGGTTCATGATCTCCCCCACGCCCCATCCCCCAAAGAAGTGTGACAGTTTTTGTGGTCATGGATTTCTTAGGGTTCAATCATTTGCTTGGTTTTTTTATTCCATAAGGAAAACCAGCCAGTGTCTCTGTGTCTCTGTCTTTTCAGTAAAGGGCCCTTCTTATTGGGGAACGGGTGTTCAAATTATTAAAAAAAAAAAAAAAAAAGATCAGGTTGTGCTGTAAGAAAAGCTTATGTTTTCCTGGCCATTTTGTGCTGGAAAAGTTTAATGAGGTAGATGGTAGAAATCCTTCATGTGAGATTAGAGTTTGAGGTCAAGCGCTGTGGTCTGTGGTTATCTCATGACCATCTAGGGATCTAGGGGTAGGGTCTGTGACGGTGCAACAGACAAAAACAGTAAGACTCTTTGGAAATGCCTCAGTGATTCCAGCCTTCTCCTCTTTGGAAGCTCTCTCCAGGACGGGGGCGTGACTTGGGTCAATACTGAAATGATCACGATGGCGATCCACTTGTTGGACTTAATGTTTAGATCTGTATGTGTCTATAGCGACATCTGATCATTTATTTCATATTTATTTGATAGATTTGCTTGAGAGTAAAAAGAAAAAACCTCACTAATACTTGTATGCAGTGCTTTATATTTTTACATGTATATTCTGTTTTTAGTTTTTACGATTATTCTCTATATTAGGTAGAAATTTGAAAAAGAAAAAGAAAATGCTCCAGAGCTTTTTCGATTTGGGCTGTCTCCTTAGACACAAGTGTCTTTCCTGAGGTCTCTGGGACGGCCCTCAGCCATTCAGGCCCAGAAACTAGGCTCACTGCATTGAGCACATCTGTGTCTTACAGTAAAAATGCATGTCAATCAGCCCAGTCTGCCTGGCTAACCCATGTTTTCCCTCTTGCCCAGTGGTTCTTTATAGTTAAAGACCCTTTTGAGGATCTGATGAAGCTAGAGGCTCCCACTCCCCCACAGTGCACTAATTCACCTAGTAGATCCATCTGAAAAGTCAAACTAACTAGAATATCAAATTGATACTTTATGCTCAGCACTAATCCCCCAGGAGCCCAGATGCCTGAAGGCTGTGTGACCAGAGCATTCTGTCCTGGGGGTTTCCCTCGTGGAAATGTACTGTTCTGCAAAAGGTAGTGCAGCCCGCACGGGCTTGTGGCTTGAGGGGTCAGAAGGGTCTAGCCTGAGACTCATCAGTTTCAGTAGCTGGAACCAAGTCCCTTCTCCACGGGGTGGCCTTATGCCGGCTGTGCAGTACTTGAATTCCCTGGCAGTGACGGCTTCTGTGATGACCTGTCCTTCCTGTTCTCACTGTGGGGCAGATCTCCTCTGGTTCTGGTAATACAGTGACTGAAGCCACAGCCAGGGATAGCCAGCCCCGGAAAAGTCTGGCATTTCTCTGCCCTTTGTGTTACTTATTGATTTAACATTTTTACTCTCAGAGGGCAGACTTTCTTCCTTATTTTCAGATTCTTGGAAATGGCTCTACAGTACTCATCATCTCCTTTAGAAGGAGGAAATTCAGGTTCAGAGAGAAACTAATTGCTCAGGATCACCTTGATAGCAAAGGGCTCAAAACTCTGCCTTTTAATAGACACCTACAGACTATCTTTTGCCATATGAATCATCTAAGAAAAGAAGATTCTTAGAACAGTGTCAATTTCAGATATTACCAACACAGTATGAAAATGAATTGTCGGGACGCCTGGGTGGCTTAGTCTGCCTTCTGCTCAGGTCATGATCTCAGGGTCCTGGGATCCTGTCCCACATCGGGCTCCCTGCTGAGTGGGGAGCCTGCTTACCCCTTTCCCTCTGCCTACCGTTCCTCCTACTTCTGTTCACTCTCTCTCTCTCTAACAAATAAATAAATAAATAAAATCTTTGAAAATGAATTGTCTTCACCCAGTAAGGGTTATCAACTCTAGGGATCTGATAAGGTACTCCAGGAGCTCACATGTAATTTCATTGGAGATGTTGATTTAATAATAAATACATGAATAATTCCTTAAAAGATAAGATGTCATAAATTTCATGTCCAGTAATATAGTTATCATTAATGATGGCCATGTTATAAATTGAGAAAAGCTGCATATGAGAGTTTCTTAATGTTTCCTGACCCCAGACAGGTTTTTATAATTTCTCAGTTACTCTTATGTTAAAAAACAAAAAGCAAAATTCTCTCTCTGCCCATCAGCAGGTACATGCATATCCTTGGCTTGAACCTACTTGACTGTTTATTCTAGCCACATAAAGGATTTTTCATGTTAACCTTGTTAGCAGAACGTTCTAAGTGGTGATAGGAAATTGATGAACTAGGTTGCACATTTAACCTTCACACAGAAAGGTTGTTGACATCATCCTGGGATGGGGTTGTGTTTGTCAGGGGTACAGTAGTGAGTCCCTTTTCAACTTGCCCTCTGTACCTACTGAGACATGTTCAGCTTGTCCTTGTTGGTAATGTGGAGAGGCTTTTCAGTCTTTTGAATTGCTGTATGATGCATCATAAAACCATTGTTTGCTTTACCCTGTGTTCGTAATCACAAGCGCCTTGGCAGTGAGCGTGCTGACCTGGGTATGTTTGGGCCTGTAGATTTGACCCCAGACGTAAGACAGGGACGTTTTCAGTTTTATGAGGTGATGCCAAATATGGTCCTGTATGTTTTAAGGATAAATAGGGCTGTATTCAGAAGTGTTACTGTTATTGTTAGTTTAAAATAATTTCATTCAGACTATATAAATACAGCCGGTAATAAGAACCAAGATTTTAAATGTAAATGAAGAGATGCAGGAGTACAAGACAAGAGCTAAGTAAAAACCCTGGTTAAATTTGAATTGGAAAGTCATTTTAAATTCATGATTTTTTTTGAGGAGGGGGGTCTGATCACATATATGTATGTCTCAGCTGCAGGCATGGGAAAGCGCGAGAGACAACTGCTGTCCCCTCGCCGTGAGTACCCTTCACAAACACACCTGCCTCTGGGTGTGGGCAGGGCCTGGGCAAGAAGAGCCTAGAGCTTCTGTTACCTGTTGTATCAGGAAAAGGAGCCATTTAAGAGTTGGGGTGGGTACCAGATCTAACTAGTACAGGGGCAAGAAGAAGGGGTCCCCACTGGCCAAAGGCAGGACAGTGTGACTATCAAAAGAATATGGCTGCGGTTGATGAAAATTCTCGGTTATATTCAAACCTTTGTGGTGGGCAGAAGAATAGCCTCCCCACTCTTAAATGTCCACAACCTAGTCCCCAGAACGTGTGAGTATGTGAACGTTACATGGCAAGAAAGTATTAAGGAATGCAGATGCAATTCAGGCAGCTGGTGTGCAGACTTTACAATAAGAGATTATTAACCTACGATTATTATCCTGAGTTACCCAGCTGTGCCCAGAACCACTGCAAGGAAGCAAGGCGAGTCAGAGTCCAAGCGAGGCAGCATGAGAAGGAATGTCTGCCATTAGCCAGCTTTGGCGGTACAATGGGGTCACAGACCTAGGAATATGGGTGGCTTCTCGGAGCTCACAAACATAAGGAGATGCGTGCTCCCCTAGAGCCTCCACTAGGAACAAAGCTGGGCCAGCACTTTGACCTTAACTGAGCAAGACCCCATCCAGACTTCTGACCTGCAGATCTGTGAGATGATATGCTTCTGTTGTTTGAAGCCCCCAAGTTTGAGGTAGTTTTTTTTTTTACAGTGTCAGTATAAAGCTAAATACATCCATGGTATCCGAAAGGGAGAGCCCCAGACAGCACAGATCAAAACAGAACATCTTACCCATCACCACTGGCAGTGAAAATATGCTACTAACTTCATCCCTGAGAACTGACAATCAAAAAGGTAAAGAATTTCACACTTTTCTTACTTTTCCTGTAAGAGGTGTATCTGAGGATGATCAGAAAGTCCTCCTTGATGGGACATAATTCTTCCTCACAGAAGAAGTGCAGCAAATGCATTTGGCAGGAATGATGGAGATAGAAGAGTCATCATTTTGCAACTCTTTTTTAAAATTTTTTATTTATTTTTTAAAGATTTTGTTTATTTATTTGACAGACAGAGATCACGAGTAGGCAGAGAGGCAGGCAGAGAGAGGGGGAAACAGGCTCCTTGCTGAGCAGAGAGCCCAGGACCCTGGGATCATGACCTGAGCCCAAGGCAGAGGCTTTAACCCACTGAGCCACCCAGGCGCCCCTCTTTTTTTTTTTTAAAGGATTTTTTTTTTTTTGAGATTTTATTTATTTGAGAGAGAGAAAGAATGAGAGGGAGAGAGAGAGAGAGCATGAGTAGGGGGAGAGTCAGAGGTAGCAGCAGACTCCCTGCTGAGCAGAGAGCCTGATGCGAGACTCAATCCCAGGACTCCAGGATCATGACCTGAGCTGAAGGCAGTCACTTAACCAACTGAACCACCCAGGCGCCCTCATTTTGCAACTCTTAATGAAAGTGTTGATGTAGGCAAAGGTCATCAGAGTATGAACCCATTAAATGAAATGTCATGGGGAATTTGAAAAGGAGAATTCAGACTGTCACCAACTGTTTTCTAAGTAATTTTCACATCACTAAGAAAAAATGCCTATGTACCTTCTTAGGTGAGGCAATATGAAATACCAAGACCATGTAGTACCAAGGACATTCTCATTCCCAGACGTTGAACTTGAATATAATACAGTCTTTAGAGGTAAAGGTTGAGCTTACAGGAAATACGGAGCTAGAGGAACAGTTAGGTTTTAGGAGGAAGCCAACAGATAAATCCAGAATGGGAACCCTCCTCCAGACCGCTGTCTTGGTGTCCTCAGTAAGCCACTGGTGTGACGATAACAAGTGGGTGGTGGAGAGAGGGGAAAGCTCTGGATTACAACAGATTGAAGAGAGAGAACAGGCCAATGAATGTGTGATCTTGATTAGATTAGATCAGATCCTGGCTCAAAAGACACCTCTGAAAGAATTATAGACATTTGAATGGAAACTGGGTAGTAGATCTTCAGGGGTTATTATTTGGGGGGGGGGTGTTGGAGAGTCATAATAGATTGTGTTTATGTAAGGAAAGTATCCCTAATCTTTAGAAATGCAAACTGCAGTAGTAAGTGTAGAATAACATGCAGTCAGTGGTTTCAAGCTTTAAAATACTTTAAAAACTGAGGGAATGGGACACCTAGGTGGTTCAGTCGGTTAAGCGCCTGCCTTCGGCTCAGGTCATGATCCTAGGGTCCTGGGATTGAGCCCCTCGTCAGGCTCCTTGCTCAGCAGGGAGCCTGCTGCTCCCTCTCCCCCAACCCCCTGCCCGTTTGTGCTCTCTCTCTCACTCTGTCAAAATAAATATATGAAGTGTTTAAAAGAAAACTGAAGGAAAAGTCCGGGTGAGGTTAAAAGCAGCAGACTAAAAACCTTGACCACTGTTTAGGAGGCATTGAAGGCCAGTTACGAGGGGCTCGCTATACTATACTCTTTTGTACGTTTGACCATGTTTAGCATAATGTTTAAAAGCAACAAAGTAGCTGACAAGAAGGGAGGATCACCACTGAAAGCTTGCAGGGCTGCTGGGAACCTCAGCTGACCCCGTGTCAGGGTAAGAGCACTTAGGATATAAACTCCCGTGGGAGCATGCACACAGATGCAAGACGGACTGTGTCTCCAACAACTTAGCTGAGGCAGGGGGCATGGGGAGGACCATGTGCTTTTTGGAAACCGCAGTAGGTGACTCAGAAAGAGACTTGATGACACGGATCGCAAAGATGTGGGTAGGGTTTTAGTCCGTTCACTTGTAGCCAGAGTCCTGACTAATCCAAGTGGTGTGGACAGATTTACGACCTGTTGACCTGACAAATGATGAAGGGGAAAAAAAACACACACACACAAGAAGGATTTTTCTAAGAGAGAAAGCATAGTAAGAAATGAAACCTTAGAAAACGATATCCATTTACCACCACCACCCACCCTGAGTGCAAAAGACTGCACAGAACTTCATGACTCTCATTTAAATCATAGCTCTGCTATTTTAAATTTAGTAGGAAAAACGTAATAACCCTTGCCGTTTACGATGATCTACCCTATAAGCATCCTTCCAGCACCTAATGAAACTCTGTGATGCGAAGTCTCTCTTACTGAAATGACTTTAACAGCTTTCTATTTTTAAATTATTTGAATATTAATTTGTCAAAACATTTCAAAATAATTATTTTAAAATAAGTGCTTTCCAATGTGTTGCTCTAAACCAGAACTCACTAACTACCATAATTACTGACAAGACCCAGTATGGAGAAAAACAAAACTTTATTAAGACCAAGATAACCTGGGGGCACCTGGGTGGTTTGGTCAGTTGAGTGTCTGCCTTAGGCTCAGGTCATGATCCCGGGGTCCTGGGATCGAATTCCATATCAGGCTCCCTGCTCAATGGGGAGCCTGCTTCTCCCGTTCTCTCTGCCTCCCCCACCTTGGTTGTGCTCTCTCTCCCTTTCAAATAAATAAGTAGAAAAATCTAAAAAAAATAAAAAAATAAAAAAAGACCAAGATAACCTGGATAAATGAAGAGCTACAGGATGGTTCTAGATAGGAAGGAAGACCCTTTGATAGGAAGGAAGACCATTTGAAGACTGATATTTGGGAAGATATCCGTTCTCTTCAAAAGAAGTCTTTAAATCCAAGGCAGTTGAATCAAAATCCAAATGAGAGTTTCAAGGAACTTCAGAGTCAATTTCTCCTCATCTAGAAGAGAAGAATGGGCAAAGATAACCAACCCCATTTTGAAAAAATGCAACAACGGGGAATCTGCTCCATCAAAAGGAAACATTGCTGTAGCAGTTACAACTGTGGTTTTGATGTAGGCACAGACACACAACCCTAGCCCCCATACACAAAGCCGTGTGTGCGTGTGTGTGTGTGTGTGTATACATGCACAATTAATATATGTGAATTTGGTTTATGAATAAAGGTGACATTTTGTGTCTGTTGGGGAGAGAATGGTGTGTTATTACTGGCTATCAAATCTATAATCCCTCTCCATTGTACAAAAAAAAATAAATTGCCAGAGTGTTCAGTGAGATGATCATAAGAATATTAAAAATATGAGAGAATGTATTTTTTTTTAACTGTGGAGTATAATAAAGGGTTCTTGTAAGCAACCCTCAAACCTGCAAACTCCAAAGGAGAAGACCAGTGGATATGAGGATATGATCACGCTGCGTTCTCATAGGACAGTAGGTACCATATACCAAACTGAAAGACAGGTCAAAGAAAAATTAAACTGGCTGATCTCCTGAGGAGTGTATTTTAGTTTGTGAATCTGTTTGCCCAGACTAGACGCGCTTGTGCCCTGAGGTCCCAGACTGGTTCACGTCGTTTGAGGGAAGAGCCGGGGACGGTAGGTCTGGGTGGCGTTCAGGGAACGAGGAAGTACAGGCGACTTGTGTCCAGTGACTCAGCGTTTTTACCAGTGGTAGAAACAGAATATCATCTGTCAGTCCTTGGAAAGGAAGCGTTTGCTTTACAAAAGCCGTGAAAAGCTGACATTAATCTTACGGGTGGTAATGAAGGTATGTTTTTCACATGGTTAGAAAAATAAATGAGTCTAAAAGAGGAAGCTTTTTGTGATCTGGGGCGCGCTTGCGCAGGCGCGCGCGTGTGTGTCTAATTGCGGCTGTCCTCTGTCCGTTTGGTTCAATTATTTGGTACAGGCTGCCATGACTTATAAGATCCTTCTCGAGTGGTTCCACTGTTCCCTCTCTCATTTCGTCTTTGCCAGTGGTCCCTCAGGATCTATGCTTCACTTGGCTGGGTTCTGCAGCCCCATTGAAGCTTACTTGCCACATTGGCTTGGGGCTTCCTGTTTATTCCTCTGTCGCCCCTGTAGACAAGGGCTCCTCCGGGGCAGAGACAAGGGAAGATTCCCCGTGTGTATCCCTGGTGTCACCCACAGTGGCTGGCTGTCTCACAGAAAGGATTCGATTCATGCCTTTAGAATGAATGAATGAATGATTACATGAACATATGAATGCATTGCTTTTCCTCCCCAAGAGCATGGAAATACATAGATATTGATCGGACACTGGGGCAAGTGGTACAGCAGGACGTGAAGGACATGCCACAGGACACATGCCACAGGACATGCAGGGGAAATCCAAGCGACTTACCGCTGCAAGAGTTGACGAAGAGTTGGGGAAGGCGTCGCGGTGTCTGTGACCCGACCTGGATCCTGGAGGATAGGCAGGAGGTTTGCAGGTATAAAGGAGACAGTAGGAGGAATGGCATTTACAGAATCATTGAGCGGTGACAAGAATCAAGCATGGCTGCTCCGTGAGAAAGACAGTGGCCAGATGTGGTTGATGAGGTGGGTCGGGGCCCCTTTGGAAATGTTCTCTGTAACACGCTAAGGAGTTCGGATGGTGGGCGAAATGAGAGGCCCTTGGAATCTTGTAAATGAGATAATGGCTTGGAAAATTGCTCTTGGAAACAAGGATGATGCTCTAACCCCGGCTGGAGACCCCCCTGGCCTCAATCCCTCCTCCCATGCTTAGCCATAGAATGACGCTGCCCCTGTGCTGTTGCTGGTTCAGAAGTATTCTGGAGAATGGAGGTGAATGGATTCCAACATGATCATTGTAACCGATTTGAAGGGACGGTTTAAATCCTGAGGTTTTAGTAGCTTTGATTAGGTAAGCTGCTGACCCCGTAAATGTGTTCATCCTTCTAATTGTATCTCTCCAGGGACAACTTTTGTTAAGTTGATGGTTTTTTTTCTGACCAGTGACATTCAAGTTATGTTTTACTGTCACTTTAATATCAGGTAATATATTGCAAAGAAAAAGGCATTAAAAAGCTGTTATGGATTGTCAAAATATTGTAGGAAA